GGCTGAGGAGCAATTGCTGAAGGAAGAAGAGGCAAGGTGTGAAAGAGGTGCCAAAGAGAACCAAGACAGGGTTGCTGCAATTACTAAGATTGCATTGGAGAAGGCCTGTGAGGGGGTTGTGGGAACACCTGTGAGGGGGGGGAATCTGGCCCTGGCATCACCACCATCAGCACCATCTACATTGGCCAGCTGCTCCAGGGAACCTTGACCCCAAGGTGGACTTGAGACAGTGACAGGGTGCATGCATCATATGGCATTAGTTAGGACAGTGAATGGTCATACAGGTGTTTGGTTTGCTGTTGGCCCCAAGGAAAGCTTGAACCTGGATGCTGATGTTCCACCAGGTGATGTTGGTGCTTTAGTATGCCTCTATGCTTGCACTAAGCTAGTAACATTGTATAAGTCTAGTCTAGTCTAGTGCATAAACTGTGGGCAACCTAATGTTACATGGACCCAGGTGATTTGTTCCACTCTGCTATGGAAATGCCTGACCTCCAACATGGAGCCTGGGAAGGCCAAAGAGAGGCAGAAGGAGGATGCAGCTATGTGGCTGCAATGTGGAGCACATGCACAGCATATATTATATTATATGGATTTGTGGTATGATATGCATCAACCCATGGGCCTAGGCTCTGGTACAACAGGGCAACAACAATGATGTCCCCATCGCTGGTGACTCTGTGGGGGGGTCTGACAGTGACATGGACACCTGCCACTTGTATAAAATATGGTTGAACAAAGTCTGTTTGAGGCTCATGTCTTTCTCTAACTTGTTCAACCTGCTGGATTGCATGGATGTCTCTGTTTCAGGGTGCTCAGAGGTGTCCACCTCCCACCCAGGACTGTCAGGATTCACCCCCTCCCATCCACTGCTCCCCAGGCCCTCACTGGAAGAGTCCTCCAAAGCCCTCTTCCTGCTCAGCCTTTGTAGCACAGTCACCACATCAGGAGCTTCAGCTTGGTTGACACCACTGGGATGTGCCACATCTCTTTCCTCAGGCCAGGCATGGGGTTCCACATGCATCCACACTTACACTTCTGTAAACAGCGCACAAGCAGCACTCTCTTACCTATTTCAGTAACTAAAACCTTAGTACCTTTAGTATGGGTGTTTCTCATTCCTTGTAACATTGAGTGCTGATGGTAACCATGCTCTAGGGATTGGCTGCCACAGGCTATGGGAAACACACATAGTAAGTAATACTAATTTACTAGTTAGTTAGTTAGTTAGTTAGTTAGTAACTAACTAAGTAGTATAGTATAGTTAGTAGTGTGTATAGTAGATAGTAGTATAATAGTAGTATAGTAGTGTGTATAGTAATAGTATAGTAGGAATAGTAGTATAGTATAGTTCATAAGGCAACATATTTATTCATTCTGACAAATCCTTCACAAGGCACAG